CTGAAAATTTAGACAAATCTTACTTACCTTTTGTCGATAGTCTATCAAAGACCAAGTGACTTTGATTTTTGGTCAACCGTTTCTCGATACTTCGTTCTTTCTCTCAGTTAAAATCTTACTCTTGTGAAGTTATGGCCTCATATACTATACACGTCATAACCACATTCACATGAAGACCACAATCGCTGCTCATCTTCTGTGAGTTTTTATAATTTATATTTACATTTATATATACATTTTTTTAATATAATCCTGTTTGCGACCATCAATTATTATATTTTTAGTTTATATTGAGAAAAACCCGAACCGAGGGTTGAAACGTTTATACACCATTATACATATGTTAAAAGAAAAAACCATCATACTTACGCACTACAACATCTGTGTCCTTTGCTCCAACGGCCATTACCAAACTTTTTTCTTAAAAACTATTTAATACAAAAAAACTTGGCGCGGCTGCACCGCGTCAACTTAAAGGTGCTTTCAGTTACGTACACAGGCGAGATTGTGTAACACAGTGTTTATTAATGAGAAAGAAAACATATCAGTGTGTCTCATTCACACTAGTGAACACAGTATTGCCTGTGTAAATAGCTGGAAAGCACTTATTGTTAACGAAGATAGAAGAGGGCAATGGGAACCAATTACTGGTTGGAATGTAATTAACGACGACGTATATAACAATGTTCCAAACGTTTTGACTATATTTTAAATCATCTTCAGTGGAAACTTAATAAGGAAATAGTCCGTAAAATGACGACATAAATGTAAGTTGTAGTTGTAAAACTGTCGTCAATACTAAGACGGCAGACGACTAAAATATAGTCGAAACGTTTAGAACATTGTTATATATGTCGTTGTTAATTACATTCCAACCCGTAATTGGTTCCCATTGCCCTCTTCTATCTACGTTAATTTTTTAATCCGGAACCGGAAGTCACCTTCGATATTGTGATTTCATCACTTATTGTTAGTTTTCGGTGCAGCCGCGCCAAGTTTTTTTGTATTAAATAGTTTTTATTTTGAAAAGTTCTACATGAAGTTTTGACACAAAGCTTTTCACACAAAGCGAGATCTACATGTATAATTTGACATAGTTAAAAGTTTTCCACGCAAGGCTCAGGTCATTTCTTATATCGATGGGTGCTTTATATAAAAAGTACCGTACTGATGGCACAATATATATATATTTTTATCTTTCTATTGTTTTAGAATATTTTATATTTTATATTTTACAAAACTTTGTAAGTTTTATATCATATTTTATATTTCGTAACAATGTATAAATGTTTAAGATTTTACTTGGCGCTACTAATTAAAATCATTTCTTTTGTAAAATAGATTTTGTAGAGAAAGATTTTTATAGTAATACGTTTATAGTAATACGTTTTCTAGAGATACGAGTTGCGCATGTACTTGGCGCCTTTTTTTACCTTTTTTTAAAAAGATATTTTGTTTGGTTTATTAGACAGGCGGATTGGTTAGTAAATATTCTATATTTGATTAGTATTTATACAATATATAGAGATATTTCTTTGGTTAATTATATAAACTCGATTACATGGTCATTATAGTTGTCGGTTATTTAAAAATTATATATTTTCCTTGATTATATATTTCAATATATTTGTATGTGTATGTTGTGAACGCGAACATATCTGTTTATATATGTGTATGCTTGAACGCGATCTCAGTCCAGGTTGATCTCTATTATTTCGGTAATACGGGCGCGAGTAGGAGGGAAAATCTTATAAAAGTGGGAGATAAGTACTAGGCGCGGTTCTTTAAGAAATGGGAAGTGGACGGTAATGAGGGCACGCGGAAAGTTGGTGGTAATTAGGTGGTAAAGTTCGGCGAGGTCGATTTTGTAGGAATCAACGACATAGTGTCGTTTAGTGGAGTTCGCGATTTTGTATGTGGATGCTAGGGCGAGGAAATGTCGTAATCTGGGGGGTAGTTCGTCTACATGGTCTTCTTCTGGGGAAGTAGGTGCCGGTGGAGAAGAAGAACGAGGGGACGGTGGAGGAGTCGGTGCAGAATAGAGATCTGCGGGACTTACGAAGGAGTTATTCGGTTCTGGGAATGTCGGAGAGAGGGAGCGGGGAGGCGACTGAGTTCGCGTATTGCTAGTGTCGGCGCTATCATGTGTCAGATTGGTTTGTAAAACATTTTCTAAATTATCACTATGAGTTTGTTTGTAAATTGTTTTCTAAATTATTATCTCTATGTGTTGGGTTTGATTGTAAATTATTTTCTAAATTATTATCTACATTGTTATTGTCAGTTTCTAGGCTCTTAATGCTATTATTCGCAGATTCGCGCGGGGAGCTAACGCCTGAGGGTCAAAGGGGGTGTTAAGCGACTGTGCCTCCGCCTGTTTCCGGGCCCGTTTGGCGGCCCTTCGCCGATACCTCTTGAGGGTGCTCCTGGACCTCCACCGTTTTTGAGAAGCGGACGGGTCCACTTAAAATTCGCGATTATAAATCCCTTGCGGGGTTTATAGGTCGGTTGCTACCTAGGTTTGTTTTAATCGGATGAGTTTTTTCTTTTTAAATTAATAAAGTAGAATATAAGATTCTTTTCGGGCCTCTAAAGTTTATAAGAATCACGAATGAATTAAATTCAAATCGGGTTAGTTTGGGCCATTTTTGCAAGATGTTATGCAGAGAATGTGCTAATATATATGCATATATATATGCATTATNATTCAAATCGGGTTAGTTTGGGCCATTTTTGCAAGATGTTATGCAGAGAATGTGCTAATATATATGCATATATATATGCATTATATTTTTACGAAATAATTGTTTTCCTCCATATAGGATGCTGGATTTGCATCACATATATATGAAGGACCCCTTTTTTCTTTTTATCTGATTATGCGAGAGCGCGCGCTGAGAATCACTAGACGATTCTTGCAAATCATCTGCAATCCGTATCAGCGTTAGCTCAAGTTCGACGGCGCGAGAGCGCGCGCTGAGAATTGCTAGATGATACTTGCGAATCGTCTGCAATCCGTATCAGCATTAGCTCAAGTTCGACGAAGGGAGCAACCGTTCTTATAACTATTGTAAGATTTTGATCGCGGCGTGAGGCACAAGCAAACAAATCTTTAGACTTAATATTAGCACTTACTACTTAGTAGAGCAGCAGCAGCGTATATAGCAGCGGATTGCAGCGGCAGCGGGTTGTAGCGGCAGCAGGTTCTGACAAGGGAAGTGACGCAAGTCCCTCTCCGATTTTGATGAGCTTTGAATATGTTGTAAAGTAGCTAAAAATAAGAGACCCGTATTTTTTTATGTGCTTTCTTGCACGTTTGGGGAGTGATACACCCCTTCGAAAAAAAACCGGTTTTTTTGTTTTATGCGAGTATCATCAAAACGGTAAGAGATATAAAAAATGTTTCAAATAAAAGTTGCATAGTATTTTATAGGCTTTACAACCGCGTAGTTAGATTTATTTTTCATTCAACATTTTTTTATTTACCCCCAACCGTCATTTTTTTTTCAATTTTCAAAATTTTTGTAAGGAAAAATTGTAGCATTTTTTACGCTGAATTCAACCATATATGATTTTCTTATGTTTCAAAATCGCATTTTTCAGAAATAAACCATCAATATCGTATTATATGCGTCGCGATGCATGACTCATCATTTATATCGCGCTTTAATCGTAATAGGCGATACAAAAATTAAAGAATGAAAATAGTCACGTCGTCACGTATTGGATAAAGTTTTAATCACAGAGCAAAGAGCAAAGTTTAAAAGCGTTGCTAAGACATCCCTTCCACTAATGCTTTTGTTACGTCCTGAGCCTACGATTACGGTCGGGCATTAGTGGTAGTACGCAACAGACGCACTGACACATTCAAGCGAACGTGAAGTCTATCCCGGCACACTGACACAGATAAGGAAGTCAGGAGTGCGCGGGTCGAGTGAGACAGTTCGGCAACGCAGACAGGCCAACGGAGTTACCCGATTTTTCTCTGTCTAACGTATTCTCACTCGTCGGTTCCCTTTTAGATCTAAGACGCAAGTCTCAATTACCAAGGACGGAACCACGCGAATTAACGAGGAATGAACGGGTTGTTTAATGAGTGTGATTTACTAGTAGATTGTTAGTTAAACGAGGTCCATATATAAGAGTTAAATTAATTAAAGCCGGATTTTGTTATAAAAATATTAGCATAATCATTTATTCAAATAGAATTGCGGATATTATCCCGAGTAGATATTAAATCCGGCAAACCTGACGTATTATGTGTCCCTGATCAGGGAGCATTCCGGTATGCCCTATTTAGGAATTCCTGATGCTAGCCTGATCAGAGAAAACTCAGGCATGCCCTACCAAGATATGCCCGACTTGCGCCTGATCACTAAGGAACGCCTGAATTTTGCCCTATTAAGGAAAGCTCTATTTGCGCCTGATGAGGGCACGCGCAGGCACGCCCTACTAAGGAACGCCTGACTTGTGCCCTACTAAGGAATGCCTGAATTTTTCTCTATTAAGGAAAGCTCGATTTGCGCCTGATCAGGGAACGCGCAGGCACGTCTTACTAAGAAATGCCGGATTTGCGCCAGACCAGACTAGATTAAGACATACCTTATGTACTTATGATTCATTTTTTGTATTACACTCTTTTTTGTAAAATTAAATTAATCAATAAATTGTCTTATTAATTACACTTTGTTTTCTTTGAGTGATACAGTTACAAAGATAAAAATATTTAACAAATTAACTAAGAGTTAAAATTACCCGAAAAACAATTACCAGATGATACGAGTCAAAATGCGTTCGATATTGTGCGGAATAAATATATATATATATACAAATATATATATTTATATATTTTTTTAGAAGTGTAAATTTTTTACACTTGATTGTTCGAATTGAAATTTCAATTTGTAAATTTATATATAGGATATGTTATACCTGCATCACATGTACGAAAATATCTATGTTCTCTTTCTAACTAATTTAGAAATTAAAATGCGAAAAAAAACTCGGTGGCCGAATTGGAAAGGCGATCGCATAAAAAGCGAGAGATTCCAGGTTCGATTCCTGGCCGAGATGTTTTTTAGAAGTTCAAAATAATGATTGTTTAAGTTTTTTGGAAGTTAAAATTTTAAATTTTAATGGCAAATTAATGTTTGATTGGTACCATAAACTTACTTTTTCAGGCAGATATTTGAATTTTTACTCTGCTCATCCGCAATCACAAAAAATTGGCACAGTTTTAAATATAGTTGATAGAATCATGCTATTATCTGACCCCTGTTTTCAACAAAATAATTTTAAATTTATGATTGAGGTGCTCCTTACGAATAACTCCTCTACATTTTATTTTTAAGATAATCAGGAATAGAATTAAGTTTTTAATTAATAACAGATTTTAAATTCAAACAATGACAATAAATTTGTTTCTGATGATCTTGAAGCTGTTGGAAAATATTTTGTTGTTCCTTATCTTCCTGATTTATCTTCTTCTTTTTCAAGATTTTTTAAAAAAACAAAGGAGATGTCTTTGGCTTTCCGTAGTTTGAATAAATTAAGTAAATTCATTAAAGTTGGAAAGGACAAGTTAACTCATGATCAAAATAAAGATGTTGTGTATTAAATTAATTGCAATAATTGTAATGTATCTTATGTTGGACAAACAAAGCGCAAGTTAAAAACAAGAATTAGCGAAAACATAGAAATCAGATTAATAGAAATTCTGATGTTATTTCTGTGGTCACGGAGCATCGTTTGGAGACTGGTCATGACTTCATTTGGAATGATGTTAAAATCTTACACTGAAAAATTTTTTTACAAGAGATCAGTTTCAGAAATGCTCCACATCAAGTTGCAGGACAATCCGTTAAATGTAATGTCGGATATTGACAAGCCTTACTTTAAAACCTTACTTCTCCTTTTTAGAATTGTATAAATCAAAAGTTTAGACCGTTACTTGTATAAACATGTTTTTCGACTTATTGTGAACTTTTGATCTTCTGATCAAATAGTGGGGATATCTATATATATTTGCCTGTTGTTATGTTTGCTTGTCAGTACACAGTATTTGTATTTTATCGTCATGTTCCATTGACATCATTCATTTTGTGTGGTAGTGATGTATTGAGCTAAAATGTTTTTTAATTGAGTGAGTTTTATTAATTTGTTATTTTAATTTTACTATAATGTATACTTTGCGCTTATTCTATTTTTCTCATTAGATTTAAACTTTATTACACTGAAGAAGGTCCAAACTTGTGGACTGAAACGCTTGTTTATTGAATAAAGACTACTATTTATACACGACCAACCTGTATTTTACTGCTCGTATCGGCCTTTTAACTAATTTGATCATTTCACGAGCGATTGATTGATTAAAATATTTATACTTCTAAAAAATATATATAAATATATACAGAGTGTCTACTCGCCGGTAGACCAGTGTTCTCAGTTTTGACTCTCTTACAGCACGCTGCACCAAGTGGAGGGGATACGCACACAGGCGAGCAGCCATGTACGTGTGCGCTTCGGCCGTCTTCGAGCGGTAGAAGAGAACAGAGATATGTCTACTGTCTCTTTCTTTTGACATAGCTATAGCGTACGCGGCTAGCGCGAGCGGCTAAGTCTCGCGTTAGCAGCTGTTTATCATTTTTCGCCGTTTGTTTTCGGTTTTGCACTTATTACCTACAGAAACATTTTGAGTAAATAAAAAAATATTAATATCAGAAAAGAAGAATTAGAAAAATGAAACATATGAGGAGCATAAATGAAAAGTAAATAATATAAATCCACTTTTAGCCAATATGTACGTCCTTTTGTTTTAAACAAAAAAAGTAAAGTATACGTAATTAGATATTTAGCAAAAGTATTGTTATTTTAAAATACATAGAGATAAGAATATATTTTAATGTTGTGTGTTACTTTGGCAAAGGTATACGAGATGACGGATAGGCAGCAGCAATGGTGACAGCAGCAAGGATTGCGGATGTGATGGATGTGTAACAAAGATCTTTCTGTAAATTGAAAGATCACTTTATTTACACTATATACAGTTTTATAATGGAGCCCTGAAAAGAGCCTTTTTAGTTTTTTCGGTGCCTGGTGTTTTCTTTTCAGAAAATGCGAGGCTCCGCCGTTGTTAAACGCCACTCCTTGGCAAGTATTGGCGAGGTCGGTGGTGGTGCCGAAAACTCTGTCTGCGTAGCCGTAGATGTTTATTCCTTGGTGAGATCGGCTTGGCACGCCTGTTCAGTAGTAGAGGATCGCTGCTTGGTCCTACGACAAATTCGGCGGATCTGTGTTACCACGTGCTGGAACTTCTTGCGCTGCGGCAGTGAGGCCGAAGGCGTTAGCGGGCAGGCGAAGTCTATCGGCGAAAGGTCTCTCTTGTGCAATGGTGGTGACGAGAGGTCCAACCAGATGAGTCGCCACGGTAAAAATTCCTCTTCTTTGAGCGGTGCTGAAGACCCGCGTGTTCTGGGTCGGTCAGTGCTTCTGGAGGACCTAGGATCTTTTGGCGGAATCCCTTAATTGTGTGATTTCTCCAATGGAGAAAAGAGATCTCTAAAATGAGAGATCAATGCTCAAGCCGTGTAGCAAGCAGATAACGCTCCAGCCACAGTAGCGAGCGGTGGTAATCGATGGACCGCCGACGACTATCTCATCTAGCCATCGGGGCTAATGTCGCTTGCGGATGAACAGGCGCCGCAATGCGCCGTGTAGCTTAAGGCCGCCTCACTGCCGCACGGCGTGTTTGTGGTGTATATGCACCACAGTTACGTAAAAAGTATTCTGTTAATATACTTTTTACTTTGCACTCGCACTTACATATAATATACATTAAAAAAAAAAAATTATTTTTGCAATAAGAATTTTATTATAGTGTGGGTAAGGCAGTTGGAGCAAGACACCGGTGTTGTTGTGTAAAAGCGTAAAAAGTTATTTATTTGACGAGCATAAGTAAATAAACGTTTTGACCTTCTTTTTAAGTCCTTTTNAATATATTCTACAATAAAAAATAAAATTAATGGTCGTAAAAGAAATTAAGAGAAAATGTTACAAACGCAAAAAAAAACGCATAAAATCAAAACTTACAGGTACGCTGATGTTATTGTCTTTGCATCGTGATGTACATTTGACAGTACATGTTTCTCGAGAGGCTCAGTAGCAACTGAGGAAAACGCACGAAAGTGTAGAGCCGAAAAACGTTCAATCAAACAAATCCAAGTCATGCGCACGAGAGAAACTAAACTATGTTAGCTACAAAAGGTAAATAAGATTTGTCTAACATCTCTGTGCAAATTGAGACCGTGACTTTGTTTTTTAATGTGCAAGGTTTCGGAGATTAGCCGTTTATAATTGGATGTTTTGTTATCTAGAATCTTTACTCTGTCCCAATCAAAGTCGTGTGAAAAATTAATCTTGTCATCACATTCCTAACGAAGTCACAGGCTTGTTGCAATTAGGTGAGAATTTCAACCTTCCACCTACAAACAATTCAAAATTAATATTTGAACTAATTAAAAATTTCGAATGCAACATAAAACATCATGCTAATAACAAAAAAATAGAAAGTCGCAGCAGGTTTGTTTCAACCCTCAAACAAATGAGATGTTCCGTGTTTAAAAAAAAACAGAATATGACGATGACATTAACAACGCCTTAAAAATCACCATTTCTTTCATTAGACATTATCCTTCTATGATCTTTACCAGAGCCGATAAGGGCAATACGGTAGTTGCGATGGACAAAAGTACTTACATCCGAGACATGGAGATTATGCTATCTGATATCAACACATATGCAACATTCAAAAGAAATCCGATAAATTCTATCTTGAATTCTCTGAAAGAATTGTTGAAAAGATGGAAGTCTCACAGTTACATCTCTGATCTTACTCACAGACATTTAAACTTCTCCTTATCCATCCTTCCAAGAGCTTACGGTGTTCCAAAAATTCACAAACCTGGCAATCCACTCAGAATTATTATCTCATCAATTAATAGCCCTTTACACAATCTGGCTTTATTTTTACATAAAATAATCTCCAAGAGCCTCAAACCCCCTCCAAGTTTTGTATACAACAGTTACCATCTTTCTAAGTTAATCTCTGAGGTGACTTTTGACGACTTGTTCGAACTAATTTCTCTTGACGTCGTCTCTTTATTCACGAACATTCCACTCGATCTAGCAGTCAGTGGCTTGGAAAAAAGATGGCACCTTATAAAAAAAGAAACGTCTTTACCAAAGGAAAAATTTTTCAAGGCTATCAATTTTATTTTTAATTCAACTTTCTTTATATTTAATAATCAATTTTACAAACAAACTTTTGGAGCACCAATGGGTTCCCCTCTCTCCCCCATTCTGGCTGATGGTCGTCATGCAAGATCTCGAACAGACCTCCATCAATTTATTAACCCCTTGGGTACGGATTTATTTGAGAAAATATTTGCATGTGGAACGGATATAATTTTTGGTTTGACGTCTTAAACACGTCATCCGCTCTTAGGGGAAAAAAGTGAATGACGTGTCTCAGACGTCAAATGTACCCAAGGGGTTAACTTTCCATCTACCATTTTATGTTTGATACGTTGACAACGTAGCTTTAATGGCTCCCAATGAGAGTTTTGACAATGTTCTTCGAATCTTCAACTCCTACCATCCACGCTTCCAATTCACCATGGAAATAGACAATGATAAATTAAACTTCTCGGACATCATTATAATTAAGAAAAACAACTTTTTTTTACATGACTGGTATCACAAACCGTCCTTCTCCAGCAGATATCTAAATTTTTTCTCAAACCATCCTATCAGTCAAAAAAAAGGCACAGTTATAGGCCTAATAGATCGAGCTTTCTTTTTATCTCATCCAGACTATCATACAAAAATCTTTGACTACGTTTTTAAATTTCTAATTGACAATAATTATCCTCTTGACTTCATTTTTAACATTCTCAAACAAAGACTTAAACACAATTTTTTAAAGAATAATGACTTACATTAATTCTTGACAAGAGATAATCCAGATGAGAAATCACCTACCTAGTTTGTAATGCCTTACATTAATAGTTTCTCTG